CGAGGTTCTTCTTGATGGCGGGGACATGCTGCACGTTCTTCAGCTGCACAATCCTTCCCGAAGTAAACTTCAGATCGACCGTGCCAACACCATGAACAGAAGCACTCGTGCCATTCCCCGTCAATACGGACCCGTGGCCTGTGATCTGGTAAGAAGTGAACAATGAAATGTTAGCACACACATGAACACCTGCACCTGTGTCCACCCACCAATCGGTGGGTTGAAACACTGAAAAAACAGTAAATAGATTACCGTACCCAGATGCACCATTCTCATTGTTGCCCACAATCATGTTGACGGACTTGGAGTCCTGTCCTGACTTCTTGTACTTGTTTGGGCACTTGTTGGCCCAATGTTCAACCGAACCACAAGTAAAGCAGCTCTCATCCTTCTTGTTCTTCTTGAAGGTATTCTTACCCTTCTTCTTAAAGTTGGTACTGTGTTGGACACCATTCTTTCCCTTGGGCTTGTGGGAGTTGAAGTTCTTCTGGTTCACCATGTTGGCGACAGAAGTCCCTTCGGCCTCTTTTCCGTGCGAGTCCTTTTCCCTTGAATTCTGCTCAACACTCAGATGGCCAATGACATCCTTCACAGAGAATTCACGCCTCTGATGTTTCAGAGTGGTGGCAAAGTTCCTCCAGGAATTAGGGAGCTTAGCAATTATGCAGCCCGCGACAAACTTGCTCGGTAACTCGCACTTAAGAAGCTCAAGCTCCTTAATAATGCATATTATCTCATGAGCCTGCTCCAATACAGGACGGTTTCCAACCATCTTGTAATCGTGGAACTGCTTTATAATATACATCTCGCTCCCGGCATCGGCGGCCCCGAACTTAGATTCGAGCGCCTCCCACGGGTCCTTGGCGACATGCACACGTAAATATGCGTCGACCAGTTTATCTCCGATCACGCTAAGAACTGCTCCGAGAAACACAACGGTGGCCTCCCTGAATGCCTTCTCCTGTTCAGGAGCAATCGTTCCCGTGGGGACACTGGTGGCCCAGAACACGTTCATAGCCGTGAGCCATAAAGTGGTCTTAGTCTGCCAACACTTAAAGTACGTACCGGTAAACTTATCCGGTTTCAGTGCAGCGGCAAAGCCACTTGCCGAAAAATTCCTACACACAATAGGTTTTTGGATTGCTGAGTAAATAGGCAATTTTTCGACTAATTTAATCCACAAATAGATGACTAGCATGGCATTAACAGAATTAACAACGTACTGATACTCAACTAAACATGCACGTACTACGCAAACAGTAGACAGATCTACACATAGTGCTAGTACTGCTAATATGGAAATAATCAGGAGAGGCATAAACATGAACCTCCACACTACTAGGAAAAGGGCTGCTAGTGGCGCACCTGTTTTCGCTACTAATGGCGCACTACAGGTGCGCCGCTAGCACCACGCCATTAGATGCATTAGTATCTGGTATACTAATGGCGCACCACATAGAAGTGCGCCATTAGTAACAATTTTTTTTCAAATTTTTTTTCAGAATTTTCTTTTAAAAAAATTTCAAATTTTTTTTAAATTTTTTTTCGTTTTTTTCTTAATCTCATGTCACTATGGCTTAATCTTGGGTCAATATGCTTAATCTCAAGTCAAATCGCACTCCGTGGTCAAACTTCCTGGAAGATCACCCATCCTCACACTACTCCAGCCCGCGCACGCTTAACTTCACGGTTCTATCCAACCACAGCCCCAGCTCACTTCACAGGCACTTGTTGATATATCTATCATATCAATCCTATTATACCTTGTTGATGTTCAGGACTTTGTTCATGTTCATGAGTGTGATGAAATTTTGAAAAAATATTTCAAACTTCCGTTCATATTACGCATCATATTTTGAAAAAAAAAATCTTTAAAAAAATCGAAACTATTTTTTTTCTGTTACTAGTGGCGCACCTAGCAAACGGTGCGCCACTAGTAAGTTTCAAATTTTTGAATTTTTTTGCCTCCAGATCTTAAAAGCCCCGTAACTTTTTTTCTGTTAGATTTTTGAGGATTTTGAAAAGGCCATGGGGGGGAGGGGGGGTGTGCATTCGGTGGAATTTTTGGGCCAAGTTACTAGTAATGGCGCATCGTGGGAGTGGCGCGCCATTACTAGTTCAACTAGTAATGGCGCATCACTCCCATGGTGCGCCATTACTGGTTTTGACAAAAATAAAAAAAATTGAAAATAATTTTGAAAAAAAATTACTAGTGGCGCACCGTGGATATGGTGCGCCATTACTAGTTAAAACCATTACTAATTAAAATTAGTAATGACGCACTATCCCCTGATGCGCCATTACTAGTTTTGAAAAAAAAATAAAAATTGAAAAAAAATTGAATTTTTTTTACTAATGGCGCCCCGTGGATGTGGTGCGCCATTACTAGTTTAACTAGTAATGGTGCACTATCCCCTGGTGCGCCATTAGTAGTTTTGAAATAAAAAAAATGTTACTAATGGCGCACCGTGGAATTGGTGCGTCATCAGTATTTGGACACTAATGGTATATAGTAATGGCGCACCACATGTCTGGTGCGCCATTAGTGTCCATTTCATCTATAGCCCTTTTTCTAGTAGTGCTAGTAGGCCAGGCAAAGGCCCAGGCGATGGTGACAGTAGCAGCGGCATCCTCGGCGGCCTTCTTGTCGGCTCCAGCTTTCTCGGCGGCAGCACGGTCGGCGTCGGTGGACATGGTGATGACGAGGACGAAGCGGACGTAGAGGAAGTAGACGAACAGCGAGCAGTCGCGTAGTCGCTTCCCAAAAACCTATTCGCCTCTCTCCCGTACAGGAACCGGAGAGACGTGGTTTCGGAGACCTGCTCTCCCGTCGACCGTGTACGCGGCGGACGGGATGGAGTCACCGGCGGCAGCAGCAAAGGAACGACGGTGGGCGTGCACGTGGACAGATGTGATCTGTTCGTGGAGGCTAGGGTTGGGAGACACCACACATTTATATAGGCGCGGGCGCGTGGAGAGACGTGGGCTCCACCCATGTCCGAGTCCGTGACAGCCCACGATACGACGTCTCAGATCGTGGCCCAGCTGTCAGAAACTCTCCGTTAGTGACTGGCAAAAATAAGCGCGTAGGTGTGAGCTCGGCTCGGCTCAATCCCGCAACGCGCGGCGCGTCGTGACGAGGCGGGCGGCGAAGGAGGAGTGCGCGAGGGCCTCAGATCATTTTGTATATTTTAATTTTTTTATTCTAAATATTTTTTGAGAATTTTGAATTTATGAGATATAATCTTCGGAAAAATAAACTTGGAACGAAAAAAAAAGTGATAGGGGAAGGAGAATAAACACTGAAATAAAACACAAGAACAAAGTAAAATGGGCTAGCCCATTATTTATTATCCTGTGCGAAGCTTCGATTATTTGTCGCGATGTATGGAAAATAGAATTTTCCCAGTTGCATGGTCAGAAAAATAGGTCTGCTGGCTTCGCTGGGCCACAACGCGCGGCCCACATATGAAATTCTGGAAAAGCTTATTTTTTTTTCTAACAGACGAACGCACAAGAATTTAGTACCACCTGGGATAAAAAAAATATTTTCGGCGATGAATGGATGAAAAAATTGGCGAAACGCACTTTGCTTTATTAATAGGGATATAGATAGATATAGATATAGAATAGATATAGATTTATTTATTTATTAAACCACAACAAGAGGACATTACAAGGGAAATTGGAGTTGCCAGCACAAAAGTCTGAGCAATAACAATACACACAGACCAGCACGAGCCGAAGCAAAATATCACATGGCGTATGAAGTACCAACATAATGTAGCGCGAGATTGATTGGAAAAATCGTAATTCAAGCTATCAATTACAGTAGCAAGAACAAAGGAGCAAGAAGCAGTTCAGATTGATGTGGTCGGTCTTTGCAGATTGACGACTGCAAATAAATTAGGGTGATTTTCTTGTTTATTGAGAATACTCCAATCAGGGCCCAACGCTTCTTTGCTTTGTCCAATCAGGGCCCAAGCCCAACCAATGCTCTCTACAAACAATCAGGAGCGAACTCAACACGCCGCTAGCCTGCTACCACTACGTCCATCCTGGCTAGGTCTTCCTGGCGGCCGCGGATGAACGCCGGAGCGGCCCGCCGTCGCAGCCCACGCCTCCATCCCCTAATCCACGCGAGTGACGTTGGTGAAGGAGTGACCCGCCGCCGCAGCCCTCGCCTCCATCCCCAGGTTCAAGGAGTGGCTCGCCGGCGGAGCACGCGCCTCGGTCCCAAGGTCCACGCGAGTAAGGAGGCATCCCGAGTGACCCGCAGCAGTCGTCGCCGCCGCCACAGCTCGCCAGCGGCGCTGGCCTCGCCGCTTGAAGACGACGATCTCCTGAGGGAGATCCTGCTCCGTCTCCCACCGCAGCCCTCCTCACTGCCTCGCGCCTCCGCCGTCTGCAAGCGGTGGCGACGCGTCACCACCGACCCAAGGTTCCACTGCCAGTTCCGTGCATACCACCAAAAGCCGCCCCTCCTCGGTTTCTTCCATGATAGCGTGGATGGTACTGTGTTCAAACCCATCCTGGACCCTCCCGATCGTATCCCTCCACAACGCCTCGACCTGCGACTCCACGGTGTTGACAGCGGCAACTGTTTGAGGGTCCAATTGCTTGGGTGTCGCCACGGTCGTGTTCTCATCTTGCTCTCGCTGCAGCAGGAGCTTATTGTCATTGCCCCCATCACCGGCGAGAAGTGCCGTGTGTCCATTCCGCCCGAGTTCAATAAACGCTATGTCAACGGGGCGGTGCTCTGTGCTGCTGCTGACCACGACCATGTGCATGGAAGCTGCCACTTGAGCCCATTCAAGGTGGTCTTGCTATCCACAAGCACCTACTATAGTGGTCCACAACTCATCTTAGCATCTGTTTACTCCTCGAAGGATGGCCTATGGGGCGATGTCATCTCAACTCCGACTCCATGTGAGCTTCCTGGTGGCGGTACTCATGGGTCACTAGTTGGTAATGCACTTTACTGATTGTGCAAAGATTACATGATTGAGTTTGATTTGGATGGGCACATCCTAGCTTTGATCAATGCCCCTCCCACTATAGACGAGGCACGTCACTTTTTTGACATGCGTGAGGTCATCCAGATCATGGATGGCGCTGTTGGTATCGCTATATTGTCTCACTATTACCATAACATTCAAATGTGGCAAAGGAAGGTCAATTCTCAAGGTGTTACCGAATGGGTGTTGTGGAAGACCATTGAAATGCGTAATATTGATGGAATCCCTCCTGGGGTTAAAGGCGAGAGGCCAGGGTTGTTATTTAGACTGAGATATGCTGAGGATACTGATGAAATATTTCTATATGTGGGCCACAATGTATATATAGTTCAACTGAAGTCTATGCAATCGAAGAAACTTTGTGAAACCCAGTATGTTAGTGCTCATCATTCTTTCAATAGTTTCTATATGCCAGGTGATTGTTCTTCATTAGTCCTTGCATTGTAGGATTAACCTACTCTTGTTATGTTTTTACATAGATGCTATCGAATACCTTCGCAATATAGACGAACTTATAACAATAGTTTTTCACTTAATATAGTTGTACATTGTGTTATCATTCAATATAGCTGTCTTCATCCTTGGGAGATAACAAATCATATATCAAATGTAAGGTGTAGCAATGTGAATTCAAATGCCAAATGGATAACTCAGTCGTCATGTTTGGAAACTCATTCTTTTATCTAGTACTTCTAATCTTGCTATTTTTCTTAACTCCATAAAAGAACTTTCAATGGAAGTGTACCTTTTTTTCCATTTGTTATCTCTAATCATGCTCCATTTATTTAGTTCGAATACCCAAAATCACTTTTGTTGGTAATTTTTATGAGTTTTGGCATGTTTTTATTTTGTATTCTTGACATGAGGGGGGATGAGTATACATGCGATAAATTATAGACGATGTATTGCTTTCTTATGAGCTAAATTTCTCATTATGGGGTAGCTTTGTATACTGTTTTCAAGAATATCCCTTGCAAATTCCAACATATGTGGTGTTTATCTGTTGCCACTTGCCAGTATGAGTAGATGAGCTATAAAACATAAATACAAAAGTGGGTTGTTTTTCTTGTATTTGTCCATTCATCTATGTAACAGACTCACTGTTGCCTTCTCATATCCATTTATCTATTTCTTGGAATTTTATGAAATGCATGCCTTATGCTTGTAGGCACAACCATTGTTGGTGGATGTGATGGGGCTGAAATGTTGCGCTATACATAGGATGACTTTCTTGTTTGATGTGCTGAAATGCTTCACGAGGTAAGAAGATCTTTTGAATATACTTTATGAGATTTTAACTATTTGATTCTCTCTTTGGAAAATATCTGGCAGTCAATCTGGGCATGCACCCTCAAACTACTAACCATTCAGCTATTGGGATTTACACATACTAATAATAATTTGTACACGCATAGCTGATCATGAGTTTTTACATGCATCTTGTACATATACTATGCTATATGGGTGCTTCTGTTAAAAAAATTCTTTTATTTGTACTTGGTTTTACATGGAGATTAATGCTTTTGTATTCTCCAGGGTGAAGAAAGGGCTGCTGCAGTTTTTTTATCAATGAGTTGGTCGTGCATCAATGTGGTCGGCAGTGTTACGTTATCTAAAAAAACTTACCAAGTGTGCACTTTAGTCTAGCTAAGTTTCTCATGTAGTATGTGCAAGATGCTTTTGAATGAATGCCCTTGTATTATTTCGAGTCAGATTTCGTCGTCTGTTGCTTTATGGGCGTGCTTGTGTGTGGCAGCTATTCTCTTTAGCCATGACAATTTTAGCCTCATGTACCACCAAAAAATACGTGTGTGTTTGAGTGTGCTTCTCAGCTGTGGTTTGGAAAGCATGCAAGCGTTGCTGATCTAATGCGATCATGATCCACCCCTGCTCCCTCCTTTTTTTTTATTTGCCTTGAGGCTAATAGCTGGAAACTAACGAGAGAAGTCCAGTGCTGATGAAAATAACAGCTGCAATTTTTCAAAGCAGGAAGTGCTGGATTGGCAAATTTCACAGGTTTATTGTTCCACATGTGTGATGCCAAATGAACTATCGTAGGCACGGTTTCACTTTTGGTGTTTACATGACTGAAAGTATGTAGTGGTTCATACGAGCCCGAGTGTGTGCAGGTGAAGGCCGACAGCGAGTCTACAAGCACAGTCGAAATTGCAGGAATTATTAGCTGCTGTAATTCCCTGCTGTCCACGGAGACTGGCTGGGGTTGCTACTGCTGTCCATTGCTTTTGCAATGGTCGATATGAGGCCAAACCAACACCACATGAGTTTTGGATGGATCTCAGCTGCAATTCCCGACTGAAATCCCAAGTTATTCTCAGCTGGACTATGTTTGCATTGCATCTCGGATGGAATTCCAACTCGTTGCAACGCTTATATGACTGGACTTGATGGAAGTTTTTGTTTTGTTTCCAACATACCCTGAGACTGACGCTGGTACACTGATGTCCGGTGAATTTGGAATGGAATGACTGGTCAGTTTTGCAGCTATTTACTTGATGTTGATGATACTGGGCCTGGGATTCTCTGCTGAAGATGCGGGATACATACGGCAGCTGAGTCTGCAGCTGTACTGGTACTCGGAAGAACACATACAGCAGGAGGTCACATTCTTAGCTTGTAGTTTTTTGCGGGACTTCCAAGTCATTTGAATGTTTTCTTTTTGTTGCGAAAGCATTTGAATGTTATTTATATGGCCGAAATTAACGCAGATTAAATCAGAATGCCGTAGCAATTTGTTCTCGGTCTCCAAGTCGTTTTGACGTTTACATGTCTGAAATTATTGCTGAAGAAATTGTGATGACAAAGACTGGGCTTTCCTTTCCCTGTGAGCGAGGTGCCCTGGAAACGAGGTTGTTGCTGCTGTCCAGTTATTTGTAGTGGTTCATATGAGCCAGAGGACTCGTCGTCCTCGCAGCAGTTGTTTACTCCTGAAGATGCGATACTGGACGGCAGCGAGTCTACAATCGCACTCGTAATTGCAGGAACACGCACGGCGGGAGGTTGCATTCTTGGCTTGCAGTTTTCTTCTGCTGAACTTTGATGTCATTTGAGTGTTTTTTATACGGCTGAAATTACTGCCGATTAAATCATAATGTGTGTGACAGCAAGAAATCAGCTTAATTTTGCTTACCCTGAGCTGACGGTGAGGTCAATGTTGTTGCCCAGTACTTTATATATGCGACACTGGACTGCAGGTGACTGAAAATTCTAGAGATAATGTCCATCGCGACTCGACTGAAATTCCACAACTCAATTTCTTACCCTGATGCTGAGGTTGATACTGTTGTCCACTGATTTGTAATGGTCCGAAGGACTCATAATTTTTGTAGCAATTTACTTGATGACACACTAACCTGGACCGGGACGGCAACAAGTCTACAATCACATTCATGATTTACAAAACACCAGAAAAAGATCACCACCAGCAGCTGTAGAAAATGGATTTCTCTGCATTTCTTACATCTTGTTTTGTTTTGTCTCCACCTAAATCACCATAATACATTCTTTCAACCACGTATTCGTGCTGACAATGTTTCAACACAAAACCCAAATAACACTTCAGCTTTCGCAAACTATTATTCATATATTCAAATAATATGTGTCTTCAAGAAAGATGATTACATTCAACCAATTAAGCAGTTGGAGTTCTATACCCTCTTTAACTGCTAGATTTTACTACATGTTTCCAAATAAAAGTTCACAGGACCCGGGAAACATAAGAATCCGAGATCTCATCCTCCGCTGAGATCTCGGTCAGCTCGGATAGCAAAGGGTATGAATCCGGAACGGCGGTGTGTTCGTCGTCGCAGAAGAATGGCCTGGAAGGCATTTGCAGGCCATCGAAGCCACCTTCCAGCATCTCTATGACCTCGCTCATTGTCGGCCTGTCATGAGACTTCATCTGAATGCACCATAATCCAACAATGCACAGCTTTCTCTCCAACTCATGCATGTCAGCAACCAGAGATATAGCATCCGCCTCTTGTGCAGTTAGTTTGTCATACACCCATGATGGGTAATAAGACTGGCTTGAGTTCGCGGCATTTGGATCAGCGTTCCTTCTTCCTCCGGCCATCTCCAGAAGCAGCATCCCGAAGCTGTAAACATCAGACTTGCTTGATATGGTACCAAAGCTCCGAGATATCATCTCAGGAGCTATGTACCCAACAGTCCCACGTAAGGCATTAGATGGCACAAAACTGTTGTCCCTTGGGTACAGTTTGGCAAGTCCAAAATCAGCAACTTTTGGGACAAAATTGTTGTCAAGAAGGATGTTGTGTGGCTTGATGTCGAAGTGCAGAATCTGCATTTCGCACCCCTGATGCAGGTAGTTGATCCCTCGGGCAGTGCCCAAAGCAATCTCATTGAGCTTGTCCCAAGAAAAACTCTTCTGGGCTGAAAAGATGTACTTGTCAAGAGAACCTCGAGGCATGTATTCGTAAACAAGAGCCCTTCTCATTTCCTCTGAGCAGAACCCCACGAGACGGACCACATTGACATGGTGGATCCTGCCGATGGTGGAGACCTCACTGATGAAGTCTTCTCCGTTGCAGTTGGAGCTGCCCTCAAGCATCTTGACAGCGATATTGACATTGCCTGGGAGTAGCACGCCCTTGAAGACGGAGCCATAACCACCTTGGCCCAGCTTGTCTCTGAAGTGGCTTGTCAATGCAACGATGTCTGTGTAGGCGTACCTCGTCGGCCCGATCATTTGTTGCATCTGGAGGAACTTTTCAACCGCATCAATTGTGATCCTTGTTTTCCAGTACTTTTGGGCAAGGAACATCAATACTGCTAGGGGCGCTAGCAGGATCCTGCAAAGTACTACATACAAAGAAGTTTACATATGGAATTGGCTGTGGTGAGGTTAATACACCACTTGTTGTAGGCTGGAACAAAATAATTTATGTAATTTTTAAGTACCAGCAATCCACTTCGCAATCACCAGAGCAAATACTGGGGGCAGAACATGATGAAATGATTGATCATCATGAATCATGACCCTCATGTACAGAAGCATATTGTTACTATTTAAATTTACACCAAATATGCATGCCCAGAAACTGAAGTCCATAAGAAGGATGTCCATGGTCCAACTCTTGATGTTGTTGCCTGTAACATGATTTCGGTCGCTGCAAGAGCATTGCATGCATGGTACATAAAAGATATTAAAGGGGGAGAGATAGGATTATCTAATACATGGGAGAAGCAGAAACAGAAGTCTGAAAACTCACCGAAACGACTCGTTGAGGCAGAAGTTGATTCGCCCAATAATGCTCATTGGAGGATCCAGCAGAGGGAATCGAACAGAGAATCCAAGCCTCAGGTGTTTTACAAAATCTGCATAATGGCTGAAATTGTAGTAGTTACCAGGACCCGGATCACTCAAAAGAAACATGGCCAGGTACCCGCAAGAAGGCGCTAAGTATTCAATAGGCACAGTATCAGTCACTATATAAACAAAAGAGTGGTTGTTGCTCAGGCAAGGGACCGATGTGTACGAATACTGATAAAATTCATTTGTTAGTGACACCGCCTGCGAGCAATTCACAAAGCTACCCACTGTGTCTGTATACATAGGGAGCAATTCCCAGCTCTGGTCTTTGTCTGACCTTTGGATCCCGTTGAAATAAGGAAGCTCATCCCAGCGAGGAAGAGGGCAGCTGCTGTTCATGTCCAAGTTGACATCAACGACCCGGAAGGACGAATCGGTGTAGTTGATCTCAGTGACAAAATATGTCGCTGTGTTGATCTGAATTTTGGGCTTGTTCTCGGTGCAAACCAGCTCATATGATTGAACACCGCACCCATGTGGATCCCCTTGCCGGCGGAAAGGATGTGATATATTATGGAGATGTCCACAGGAGAAAGTATCACAGTGGTGTCGCCCATGAACATCACGTAAGAGTACTGCAAGCACAACAAAGATTAATAAGGCTTGCAGGGTAGTAGAAAGATGAAGTGAACTACAAATCGCCATGGCTTGCTCTGATAATTGTGGAAGAACTAAACCGAACCCAACTGTGCCCACTTACATAAACTTCATAACCCCCACCCAGTACAATTCCAAATTGCTTCCTCATTTTCACACTCACCTGTCACTGACAAGATATGAGTACGACATGAGTGGACTGTGGCAAGTCTATAGTCACACTCAGACCACTAGAGCAGAGAAGATTTATGGTGACCAATTATTTCTTCATTCGGATAGGTATGTATTGCTGATGAGACTGACAGGAGTGGACTTCAGTCAGTCTACAATCACAATCTGACCACTAGAACACGACAAGAGGTTGCATTCAAACAAGGGATTCTTCTTAGGTGTATGGCTATTAGTACAGAGCCATTGGCACTGTTACTTGCAATAAATGCGGATCACCTCTTTCATATACACAGACTTCCTCAGTTGCTATGTCTTGCTAGGCTTCATCTTCCTTCCATTTCCATGAGCAGCACAGTAGACAAAGATGAGTAAAATACTTCCTATAGCCATCCTCCTGCTCTGTCTTCTGAGTCACGGACCTGGTATGGCCACAGTTTCAGCTTGGGATGACAAGGATTTCTTCAGATACTGTCCACCGTCCTGGTGCAGCAAAGATGGACCTGAAATCAGGTTCCCGCTCAGGCTTGAATCCAGCAATTCATCATCATCATGTGGTGCAACATGTGCGAAGATAACATGCTCTGGCCAAGACACCATTCTGCTTCACCCACTTCTTGGACCATGCAAAGTGACCGCCATAGATTATAGCCGGGCTTCCTTCAGCATCGTCCCACTTGTAGACTCTTGCCCGCTTCAAAAGCTCATCTCCATAAATCTCCCAGCCATAGCTGATGTCAATCGTTGTGCACTATATGAGTCCACACCTGGAACATTAGTACATTGTTCAAGTGTGTTTACACCAAGTGGCACTGCTGAATTTGCAGGTGACATATATCCCAAGAATACTGCCGATTATATTGTTGGCCCAATATCTTGCTTTAGCAACCAAACTCTGCTTGCGTATTTGGTGATGCCTCGCCTATACATGCATGTGCTTCCCTTGGACTGCAAGGTCATCTCACATGGCAACATTCCGATACCCAACCCATCAACATCCATGCATGACCCTACGTTCAAGCAATTATCGGAAAAAATAATCAATTTTGCTGAAATAACTGCTAATTGGGAGTATTCTAATTGGGATAACGATGGAAGCATTCCCAGCAGTTGCACACAATGTGAACTTCATGGGCGACGCTGCGCATTCAGCTCAGAAAGGCACCAAGTGTTCTGCATGGATAAGAGACCTCATGGTATGGCTTTTTCCTTTTGTATTTAAGATTCACTAGTCAAACCTTAGATGACTGCAGAACACTTTTATTATCTAATGTTGCTCTGTAGTATTTCAAAGCTCTGTAATTTTACATGTATATACACTACTACTTTCGGTTCTTTGAAGCTTCCATGAGATTTTCCATCAAATTATTTTTAGTGAAGTAGTATGAACTATTTGGGCACACTTAGCTTCAGTCTTCATCCTACACCTATCCATATCTCCCAAGTTCCGTATGAAATCCAACAAACAATAGCAACCTAAAAGGAAAATGTGTTTGTTAATAAAGCAGAGTTCAGTAACTGTGACTATTTGATTTGAAGCTTTTCACAGTCTAATACTCTGATAGACATCCACACATACAACACTAGTAAGGTTGCCAAGATCAGACACCTAGATAGGATTATTTTCATGTGGGTTAGATTGGAATGAAAAGATAGCATTACATCATACCTCAGCCACAAAACTTATTTTATAATTAGTTGATTACAACCCCAAATAGGATCTCAATCTTAAGGTTGTAACTAAGATATATGGGTAACAATCCTCACAGCCGTGGTTAGGGGAACAGAGTTCTGATGATATATGTTTCCCAGCAGGAAACTTGCTTATGATGAAACAGCTAAATAAGAAGTTCATAATCACAGTACAGTCATTTCTCACAAACTAAAATCCTACTGTATCCAACCAAAGCCACACATTTCCCTGCTTGAAATGAGTTTTCCTGCTACTGTTTGAAAAGGAGCCACCTCTTATAGCTATGACTTCCCTGTTTTTCATGAAGTGAAATTCAGTTTTACTTACCAAACCATCAACTGAATGCTATTTTATTTTTTGGTATTTGCAGGCTCACGTGTCAAAGTCATTGCAGGTACTGCTTCAATCAACACGACCACACCTTTCAATTCATTCCAATAAAACTAAAAAAATATCCAGAGCACACACTAATGTCTTAGTAATGGCTACCCTGAGTCCCTGACTCTTGTTTCTCTAATCCTTATCACGATCAGCCAATCACTAAGAGATGGCTTTCTAGCCTGCAGTGTGATGATTTCTACTTCTGTTTATGCAGCTACATCATCTGTAGCCGCATTTATAGTTCTTTCGGTGATGGTGGCCACAACGATCTATCTGTCCTTGAAGTCAAGGTACAATGAAGAGATAAATATGAAGGTTGAAATGTTTCTCAAGGCATATGGCACATCGAAACCCACAAGGTACACTTTCCCTGAAGTTAAGAAGATGGCAAGACGATTCAAGGATAAACTAGGCCAGGGTGGATTTGGAAGTGTATACAAAGGAGAGCTACCAAATGGAGTTCCTGTGGCAGTGAAGATGCTAGAGTGCTCTACAGGAGAGGGAGAGGAATTCATCAATGAAGTTGCAACCATTGGACTAATCCACCATGCAAATATCGTCCGTCTTTTGGGCTTTTGCTCCGAAGGAATGAGACGGGCTCTTATTTATGAATTCATGCCTAACGAGTCACTGGAGAAATACATATTCACACATATTTCCAATATTTCTCAACAACTCCTAGCACCCAACAAAATGCTAGATATTGCTTTAGGCATTGCCCGAGGAATGGAATACCTGCATCAAGGCTGCAACCAGCGCATTCTCCACTTTGACATCAAGCCTCACAACATCCTGCTGGACTACAACTTCAACCCAAAGATCTCAGACTTTGGCCTTGCAAAGCTGTGTGCAAGGGACCAGAGCATCGTCACCTTGACTGCAGCCAGAGGCACCATGGGATACATCGCACCAGAATTATACTCTCGGAACTTTGGAGGGGTGTCGTACAAGTCTGACGTGTACAGTTTCGGCATGCTGGTGTTGGAAATGGTGAGTGGAAGGAGGAACTCAGACCCAAGTGTTGAGAGCCAGAATGAGGTGTACCTCCCAGAGTGGATTTATGAGAAAATAACCAATGAGCATGAATGTGAGCTTACTTTGGAAATGACAGCAGAAGACAAAGAAAAGATGAGGCAGCTGACTATTGTGGCACTATGGTGTATCCAGTGGAACCCGAAGAATCGGCCATCACTGACAAAGGTGGTAAACATGTTAACGGGGAGGTTGCAGAACCTACAGATTCCCCCTAAGCCCTTTGTGTCGTCTGAAAATCATCCTACAACATAAAAGCACGGAGAAGATGCTGCCGTCAGGCAGGTACATATTGCAGACATGCACTTAGTCCATGTGTTGCACTGCAATGCATAGCACTAGGATGCAGTATATTTCCATCTTTCCACTCTATTACCACCTGATTGTATGAATAATCGTTCTTCCCCATGTAATATAATAGTACTACTATGTATATATGCAAGAACATATGAGAACAACAACGAACTTTATTTGGATTGTAACAGTCAAAAAGTACAGCAATCTGTTGGTTACCTTGCTCTGCTTTTCCTCTGATGTATCTCCAACTCAGTATTTTCCTGCAGTGCATTCCTCCTCACTGGGCTCCCCTTTGATTGCCACTTTCATTGTGCGGAGAATATCACAGGATCATTCTACAGTTTAATTAATCATGCCTTATCTTAAAAATCTCGGCAATCCATAGCACTAGCACTGAATACATTTCGATCTTTCCCACCTATTAGCACCTGACACCTAAAGTATGAATAACAGTCAGCACCGTGTCATAGTAGCAGTAGCTATTTGCTAGTACTTATCTGAATCACATCGAACTTTATTTGCATTTTGGCAGTTAAAAACGCATTAAATTGTAGGTTACCTTATTCTGCTGTTCCACAATTGAGCACTCCGTATTTCACAAAGTGCAATGTGCGACTTTATATCGCTGAGAATATCAGCGAATCATGCATCCTACAGGCCGAATTTCATGCCATTTTCAGTCCTACGACAGGAGTAATCATTTTACAATGTGAATGAACCTGAACTGGATTTTGCATTTTGAAATAAGATTCGGAAACGCAAAGCGAAAGGAGAAGGAACAAAGGGAGTTTGCTACCTTAGATGAGGAGGCGGCAGCGGATCTGCAAGGCAGCGAGATTCCTCTCCTCGGGAGGCCGCCGGCGCCGGAGAGAGTGCGCTCCGGTGGGGCATGGCTGCAATAGGGGAGACGTGGAACTTCTCAACTGGAACCGCGATTTGGCGGCCTACTCCAGGATGGCCGCCGCCGCCGCCGCCGCCGGAGCAGAGAGCACCGCACCACCGAGGGGCGTGTTTTTTTTTTGGAAGGGTACTCACCGGGGCGCATCAGCCCGCTAAGTAGGAACGAAGGGCCCAGCCCATCAAGACCACGCCCCTAGGCCCAAGAGAGACTAGTGGGTTTTTTCTAAAAACTTCTTTTTTCTTTTTGAGGGAAGATGTTTTTCATTTCCATAGTATAAGTAAGATCCCGTGAGAGACCTTTGGTTTCTGCTTCAGTATTAAACTCGCAGCTCCCCTTGAAACTTGTGCCCTGGTTCATCTATTTAAGAGAGTTTTATCCAAAAAAAATTAAAATGACATTCAACATTTCAAATTCAAATAGTAGTTGTTGTAGAAAGGTCCTATAAGTATGAAACAATTACAAACATCTTGCGAGCACTTGTGCTTGAGATAATGGAAAAGAAAACACTCTTTACATGCACAAAGATATTATCAAATACTCCTAGAAAAGTGCATGTGCGTTGCACGGATCCATATAATAGACTAATATATTTTCGCCAACTTGCAAAAAATCAACCTAATTTTAGTACATATCACCACAAACTCATAATTCATCGGATCCCTACAAACACACCGCAAAAAAATTTACATCGAATAGATCTCCAAAGAGAACATTGTATTGAAGATCAAAAAGAGAGAAGAAGTCATCTACCTACTAACTATGGACCCGTAGGTCTGATGTAAACTACCCACCCATCATCAGAGAAGCACTAATGAGGATGATGAACCCCTCCATGATCGTGTTCCCCTCCGACAGAGTGCCGGAAAAGAGCTCAAGATTGGATTTCGTGGCTCTGGAACTTGCGGCGGTTGAAACAATTTTTCATCGACTCCTCTATGGTTTTTGGAATATTGTGGTATTTATAGAGTCGGATGTCGGTGAAAAAGGTCACCGTGCCCTGGTGCCTGGCGGGCCCCACGGGCCTCCCATCATGTGCTTCCTTGACTCTCTGGATGTCTTCTGGGCAGAAAAAATCTCCAAAAAAGTTTCGTGGCATTTGGACTCCGTTTGATATTGGTTTTCTGTGAAGTAAAAGAAACAAGAAAATGGCACTGGGCACTATGTCCGTCCTGAAAATGATATAAAGTTGCTATAAAATGATTATAAAGCATCAAAAAATAATAATATAACAGGATGGAATAATAAAAAAATTCTAGATACGTTGGAGACGTATCAGTGACGACCCACTTTCTTATTCCTTCCCAGCTCTCTTTTCATATTGTTCTTCCCCTTAGTTCTCCAACGCAGAGCTTTTTGCTAGGGAGCGGGACTTAGGCCTCCGTAGGATGCTATCTCCTAAAGAGTTGGAGGATTGCCCCTGCCTTGCTACTATTTTCCCGGTTCTCTCGAAGTCGGCAGACTCGGTGTCCTGGCCTCACTCGCCATCTGGTCGTTTTTCTGTTATTTATAATAAGCTTTTGTCTGACCTGTTGCTTTGCGGTTTAATGGTGTGTCGAAAGCTAGAGTTCCTCTTAAGGTAAAAATCTTCATGTGGCAAGCTATGCGCGGTTGGTTACAGGCTGCTGATCAAATTCGCAAACGTAATGGCCCTAGCTCAAAGTTCCGTGCCCTTTGTGGGCTTGTTGTAAATACTGAGCCTATCTTGTTTCGATGCCCCTTAACTAGTTTACTATGGAGTGGATTGGAGATTAGCTTGAGGTGTCTTGGGCCTCGAATAACTTCGATGAACTCGGACCGTTATCTCGTTCCTTGGGTGGGAAAATTAAGAGAATGTTCTGGTTTGGTTTTTCATCTATATGTTGGACCATGTGGACCACCAGGGACAAATTTACCATTAAACACCTCTTCCTTAACATGGTTGTTGACTGTGTTTTCAAATTGTCCGTTCTTTTGCAGCAGTGGAAATCACTTAGTCTAAGGAGGGCGACAAGGATGCAATGGAGCTTCTGATTTAAATTAATAAAATTCACCATTTGTCGAAACAAGCATTGTACAGTTTTTGCCTATGGCTTCGCTAGGGTTTCCTAGCCCGGGCGATCAGGGGGCGATCCCCACGCCGCCGCCAACGCCGGGCGCTGCCCCGGCCACGGTCGGCCTCCCATCCGTGCCCCAGCCATGGCAGGGTGCCGGACCAGCAGCGGCTACGTCCACCCCACGATTGCGCGACCAATCAGGTCTCATCAATCCCGTCGTGCCCGTGAAGGAAACTGCAAGGAGTCCGATCGGCTCACGCCGGGAGGGATTAGGGTTTCCTAAACCCTGCCACAAGGAAAACCTGAGCCCTCCCCCCTTAAAGCTTAAGGCAGGAACGCTACAACATCAGAAGCCTCGTGAGCCGCCAGATCGATCTAACCACGCTGCTGCACTGCTGCCGCCAAGCCACCCCGACGCCATGGCGAATCCGTCCGCGCACGGAGAGGACATAGAGATGCCGGTGACCGAGGGGGACCTAGGGGTCGGTGGGGGCGATCATGGGGCTCCCCTTGCGGATGCTTCCCGCCCGAAGCCTTCCACTGGGGACCCTGGTGTTGCTGTGGAGACGCACCTGCGCGTGAAGGATCTCGCCATCTGGAACCAGATGAAGCGGACGGCGCCAGAGGCGGAACAATCTCAGAGGCAAGGCAATGGGAACCAACACGCCGAGGGCCCAGAGGAGTTCAGGGAAGGTGAGGACATGGAGGCCGATGCTGAACTTGTGGAGGTTGATCTCGAGGAAGAGGGGGTGCTCCAGCAACTGGCTCATCCTTGGACGGTGATCATGCTTGTTTACTCGTTAGATCGACCAACACCCAGAGCTCTTTTTGACAATATTGTAGATGGCTGGAGGTTGAAGGAGAACTTTGACTACTCATACCAGGGAGATAATAGGTACCTTGTTCACTTTGGGTGTGAAGCTGATATGGCAAGGATTCTGCATGGAGGACCATGGCAATATAAACATGACCCACTGATCATCGAAGCATATGATGGGATGAGGAAAGTTTCTGAGTACGTCCTTGATCGGATTAGAATCTGGGTGCGGATCCTGGATATGCCAACCAACTGGAGAACCGAGAAAATAGTGAAAGCTCTGTGTGCAAATTTAGGCACGCTAATACAAGTTGAACTTGATGAGAACAGGGGCAATTTTGTGCGCGTGCGAGTAGTGCTGCCTGTGAATAAGTCGCTTGAGACGGCGGTGGCGATGAATGCTCGTCTTAAAGAGAAACGTACAAAGGTTGAATTTGAAATCCAGTACGAGAAATTTCCTGATTTCTGCTATACCTGTGGCTACCTGGGCCATGTGGAGAAGTCATGCAGAAGGAAGGTTAAAGGTGATGCACCAACGGGGAAGTTCAGCGGCAAACTGAGATGCTCTCCGCCCCGGCCGTTCACAAGGCAGTCTGGCACAGTACGGGCGAAAACCAATCCAACAGTGTTCCGTGGTCTTGATTTTTCGGCGGGAAGTAGCACCTCCTCTGGCCGGGGACGAGGGGGGCGTGGAGCTCGCCGTGAGGCAGATCAGGCGCGCACATACAAGACACAGGAAGTGCACAAGAGCGCCAACCCGACCATCGATCAAATGTTGGCAGAACATATGCAGAATATGATGGGGAGTGACAAGGAGGAACCGGGTGTGCAGAAGCCCACAAATGAATTCAGCGGGGACGGCCACACCTAGAACCAGTACACGCCCTCTCAGCCCAGGAGCTCCGAAATCATACCAGCACTACGTGACCTGTCAAATGAGATACGCATGGCCAATGCAGAACTATCGATGCTACATCACTTGGGAAAAGGAATGCGGAGGAGGAGGTGTCCTCGTTGGCTGGAGTGGAACAGGGAGACAAAGCCATGGTGCTCTACACTAACCCGAATGCCGCGGGAGATATTGTTTTTTCAGGAACGCCGAAGAAGCGGAGAACCTCAGAGACGTTGGAGGGGCAACAGGCTCAAGTACACGGCGGAGTAGGTGATCAGGACATGATGGAGGTGTCCAACCCATTGGAGGCAGTCG